ACAATTACAAAAATATTTGTAAAAATCCTAATAACTTAAATTAAAGAAGAAAAAATATCTTTTTATTAGAAACTTCCTTTTCTTATTGATTCTTTTTTTAAATAGTTTTTTTATTAGAGGTATTGTTTTATAAATTAAAGTTTATGATAATAATGAAAACAAATTTAAAAAAAAGTAATGAATTGAACACTTTCACGCACGTATATCAATATATTCGAGGATAATAAATATGAAAAAACTCTATTCTTATTGAATATTAATGAGAAATTTTTTAAATATTAGATTAATATGTAAATAATAATAAAATAATTGTTAAAGTTACCATAAAAAACTTTAATCTTCTTAAAAACCATGCAATAATTGGATAGTTATTTAAATATCATCTTAATAAATAAAGTTATTCTAATAATTTTTAAAAATAGGTTAAGGGTTATTAAAAAGAAAAAACTAAGTGTACTAGAGTCTAAAAAGACAAATCAAGGTATTTGGCTTGAAAAAAATTGTTCAGTCTTCTTTGTTTTTTCAATCGTTTTTAATAGATCATACGACAACGCATTTCCTTCTCAAAGGGAATGATCTTTTAAAAAAATAAAAGAAAGAGGAACCATGTTCAATAAAAATTGAAAACAGATCTTATAAAATTGTTTTGTCGATCACACACAAGGATGAGAAAATGGAAAATTATTACATATTTAAGATGTTACAACTTGCAATATGCATTAATTTGTGAATTCACATAATTCCAATCAAATGGTTTTTATATATATATATATATATGTATATATAAAACTAGACTAATAAAGGTGGTATTAGAGATGAAGATGGCAACCTAAAGGATAGATTCAATGGTTAAAAAGTTTTGTTTTCTTATTTATTTCTATTGAGTTTAAATATTGGTATCGGAAAATACTAAAGATTTATGCTAGATGTGCACTGTTAGAATTACTTAATGATAAAAATTAATTTTTACGGATAAAAAAATAGATCGAAAATATCTTTTGACTGTTATAAGAAAAAAAATAATCCTGAGTCAATGGAAAAAGGAAAGAAAAAAAGAACGATATCATCCTATATAAACTCTCTCCGTCTGACCTTCTTTCTAATGGGCTGGATGGATTAAAGCAGGGACAAGTGGACAACTAATTTAATATGGGCCTGGTGGGCTTAAAAGAAGGGTGGAGCAGATAGGGAGAGGGCCGAGTTGCAGACTGCTTTGGAGCATATTGCTTAGGAAAGAAAGAAAAAAGAAAACCGATTCGTTCCTCTTCTAGGATCTCAAATTGATTGAGTCGGAAAAGTTTAAGTTTATTTTATGAACTTTGAAGATCTTATGTTGTTAACTTTATGTAGTGTTTCCCCTGAATTAGAGGATGCTTGTTTTATATAAATACGCAAAATATTTACACATAATTTTTTTACAACATATGTAAACAATACGCCGGTTATGCTTAGGAAAAATGTTGATGATGGACGCAAATTTCATGGCTACGGTGGTGATAATACAAGCAGCAGCGGTGATAATATGATGATTAGAATAGATAAATTATATCAAGAGTTTGTTTTTGTTTGTAAAATGTTTTGTGAGATTTTATGAATCGAAAATATTTTATATAAAATAAAATATTAAATCCCAAGTCACATCTCAGATTGAACGTGAATGGCTTGTTTCACATTTATACCGTTCGAAGTGTGGAAGAAACAATCGAGGTTTTTTATTTTTTTTTAATTGAACGTGAAAATATAATTGCGATAGTTACTTGTGCTGTGAGCCCCAATCCGGCCTAGCTACTAAACTTTCCACCGCTACCAGCTATCAATTTTTGCCAACTCTATAGCTATTGACCCTTGAGCAGGAGGCTAATAAAGGTCACGCAAGCAAAGCCATCATGACCCCAACTCCCGATTTTCATAGAGTAATTAAGCTGCCAGTCTTTTCATTTTTGGTTGCCATATGGTTATTATAATCATGCAACTCCCTGTGGAGAACAACCTCTTATTTTCATCAACAACAGAAGGAGAAAAACCACAAATAAAAAAAAATGAAATATTGTGGTTAATTTCCTAGCTAGCTTTCACACACACACATCCTTGAGTATACATGTCGATCATAATGTACAGGTTGAAAAACAAAACTCCTATAATCTCCAGTATCAAGTTGGCTGTGCACGATACATATATATGTGGGGGCAGTGAGGTTGATGACAAATCCACACACCAATATAGCAATCGATTGCAGAGCACATAGAGGAGATGATGGATGGATTAGACATTTTAATAAGAAATTGTGGAGCCATCATAATTGATGCATGTGAGGCCCAACGTCATAGATGGTGTACGTGTTTACAGGTTTTTAGGGCACTTGAAGAGGGAGGAGAAGAAGGGGAGAATTCCATTTATTTCATTGTTGACTATGGCGCCCGCGCGCGCCCATATATATACATAACCTTGAGTGTATGTTTTAGTAGTAGAGGTAGTAAAGGAAGAAATAAGTGAAGGGTCCTGGGTGTGGTTCTAGTCATGCTCTCTTCGATTAATGGCTCTTCCTACCTTCCTTCCATTCAAATACGGCATGATTAGGGTTCCAATGTGCTTATACTATCAAGCATTACATCCGCGTATGTTTTGCCTTCATTTATTTTTCGTGTTAAAGTCTCACTCTCAGCACTCACACTATCATGATGATTAGTAATTGTTAGATTATTGACCTGCGTTGCACTGTGAATTGATTAATTTTTTTGAAATATATAAAAAAACATCTAAGAATTAATCAATCCAGATTACTATATTAAATTCATGAATAGGATTATAATACTATGATAACTTAATAAAAAATAAATCAAAATAAATTATTGTTAATAAATCCATTATTAAATGTTAAAAATAAAAAAAACAAATCAATCTAAATACATGACACAATAAAAAATATGAATTTATCAAAAAAAAATAACTTGAGTTATAAGAACAGGATAATCTCATAGAAAATAAATGAAAATATATCATGAAATCTAATTTATAATTAACTCAATGTTAAATGGTGAAATTAAAAAAAAAAATATCAATTACAAAAACTCAAGACAACTAGGTTAACCTGTCAAATCCACGACTTGAGTTATGAGATCGAGATTACCTCAAAGAATACAAATTAAAATAAATTATAAAATTATTCCCAATCAATCTAACATTAAAGGATGAATTAAAAAAATAAAAATAAAAAAAATAAAAACCATATTCAATCGATTTAATCTGCTAAACTTGAGACACAAGTTATGAAACTAAGCTAACTACAATAAATTATAAAGATTAATATCAAATAAATTAAATATATATTAAAATATAAAATTAAAAAGAAAAAAACTATTGAAATGAATATTATTTTGTGAGGTGTGTGCTTTTTTTTTTTTTTAGTTTATACTATAATATAATGTTTCATGATTTAATTATGCATACTTTCTCTTGCACGAGCAATTAAATTCATATATATACTAATCCCTGATTAATTGGTCGACCTGCCATTTGAGTTCCTTAAAGATTGGTTTTGATTCTAAGATCACTTTGCTACCAGTGGTTGATCCCAAATTAATGAGCAGCACTTCTTCTAAAAATCACTCGGTACATTAATATATAAGGTCAGATAATTTATCAACTAATTAAAGTTGTAACTATCCAACTCCACTTTCTATTGGGTACCACGCAAGATTAGACAAATAATTTATTCTCCCGTTTTGGAAAAATTACTGAAGCACCCAAAGAGTAACTCACCATTATGCATTAAATTGTGAGTATAAAGGTTATTTTTAAAAAAAAAAACTATGAATGCTAAACCATTTAAAAATTAATTAATTAATTAACTAATCTATTCTCTAACCGAAGCAATTATAGCATGAGGATTACGCATGTCATAGCAAACCAAGCAATTATCATTGATTTTTGTTACCATATTAATGTGCAGGTAAGATTCACTGATTAATTAGTGGATCTTCTTCTATAGCTGTTGCAATTGCACATGTCAGGCTAATTATCTACCTGCATTAACAATTTAATATCATTACAGCCATAATTATTTAGTGGACAAGACAAAAGACATGGAAGTAGTTGGAATACAAGTGAAAATATTCGAGCGGTTGTTAAGTGAAAATTATTTAATAGCGAAATAGCGGCGCAAAAACCAGCGGCCTCTCAAGCCTCGCTCCGTAGTTTTTGAACAAAGACAGCAGCATATTCTCTCCATATGAACGATCCTTGTGCTAAATATAATATTTATCAGCAATACATGTAGTTTGAGAAGAGTTTCGAGAGCTGGAGATTTACAAGGAGGGAGAAGGAATGCATGTACATATGCACACGATATCTTACCATGGACAACAGCAGCATATTAATTTATCCCAATTTATTTTCGTTTCTTTTTCGGCCATGCATCATTTGTACGAAGAGAATAACATGAAGAAGATGACGGGGTTTCCAGGCCCTCAATGCAACGTTTGACTCTTAGATATTTGTGTTCAAACTAAGAATAATGAGATACATAAAAGTGGAGTAAGGACAGGGTCGAAATGAAGATGCCAACATCCCCTTGTAATGGTCCACACCTCCAAAAGTCTAAGAGAGAGAGATGAGCAACTACAATCTCTTCATTGCTTTCAGCTTGAAATGGGGCCATAAGACAAGGTGATGCCAAGAGAAGCCACTTGTAATCAACCTAATCATCCATGGATGCTTGCTGACATGACTATGAAGTGGCATCTCAGACGGACCGTTCAAACATAAACTATAGTTAGCAAACAGTAATGACGCTGGTTTTTTCAAATCAATAACGTTAGCATGCATAATACTCGCGCTTTATTGGTTCTCTAAAATTTTTCATTTTATTCCTCCTTAAGGCTAAGCATGCAGGAGATTATCAAAGAGAAGCATAGAACCTTCCATGATCTTAGGCTTTTCTCTTTTACCCGCCTCATTCGTCATCGATACAAGGGGTTGCTTCCCTTTGCAATCATGAGTCCAATACGACATCATTGCTGTGGAAGATAAATCTATCCCTCTATCAAATGCATACCCACCAGCAGCTCACCATACGCCCCGGATAATCATGCACACTGCCATGACACAAATCCTCCTCTATATATATTGGAACAGGCATCCACCCTCTTTTCTCAATTCGCATTCCTTCATCTTTCCAATAGCAACTGATCTTATCCTCTTTGAGAGCTAAAGGAAAATGTGCACTAACGGAGTAGACAGGATCCCTTCTCCTTTCCACCCTTCAAAGAGAAGGCAAAGATCAAAGAAATGTAAGGTTCAGGTTATTGGGCTCACCTGCAGGTATATATGTCTTAACTAGCAAGCAAAAACACAGCATCTCCTTATAACACAACTTAAATATTGTTACAAGTGTTTTGATTTTTCATTCGCTGTATGGTTCTTACATGTTTTATCTGCTGAATTTCCTTTAATTTTTTCCTCTTGTTTTCTCCCTTTCTGTAAAGCAGGAGGTCAGGATATGAGGGATGGGAGGAGAAGAACATGGAGCTAAAGAATTTGAAGCTGTATTTAGAGAACCAAAGCATTGTTGAAGAGAACGAGAAGCTGAGGAAGAAAGCTAGTCTTCTCCACCAAGAAAACCTGGCCTTAATGTCTGAACTTCAAAAGAAATTCCCTCATTTGGATCGCTTCTCCAACACCCTACTTCTCTTACACAAACACTAGCAATATATATATATAGTGCAGATTAGAAACTCTCTTTATAGCCGTCTCTCTATAGCCTTCCTTTTGTTTCTCCCTTTTCTTCGCTGAATTAAGTATGTTAGTAACAAGATCTAATGAATTTTGCTTGGTAGTATTTGTTATAATTATCATGGTAAATTTATGTATGCCAGCTAGCAAAATAAACTATCAATGATTCTCTTTGTTTCCCTTTTCTTCTAGTTGAAATTATTTTTATGTATCAACTAAATTTTAATTGATTCTAGTATCTGCTTTGTTATTAAGCCTGAAAATGAAACTAGGAGAGATTCTATAAACTCAGCAACAAATTAGATACTTAAACCTGACATCGTGAATAGCTGCAATGATAAAGTGACTGCGCGACAAGACAAGTGTTCTTGGAACAGTACATAAAGGCGGCATGAATACCCTGATTTGTCTTGCAAACTATCTTTCCCACCTTAACCCATCTAGCCCTAGCTGTAGTATCACTGTAATTAAACATCTGATCCAATCCCTGGCGTCTGCTAATAAATAATACTTCCTTAGTTTCCGTTGTTAATGTAACCTTTATTTTCACCTTTGCTGTGGATGCATTGTGAGAAATAAGGGAGCATTCTTAGTATTGCACGCAAGTACAACTATGAGGCAAGGAGCTCTTCAGGTTTCCGAGCTCCTGTTCTCTGAACTCTGGGCTGACTTTTGCTTAGGAATTTGTTCTGTTTTGTTTTTCCTTCGATTGTTTCAAAAGCTAACAAGTGGTTATTTATCGTAAAGTATTCACCTATATACAGAGCAAGAGATTACAAGAGTGCCTAAAAATGGACCAAAACGAGAGCAATGGCTGCACAAGTAAATGTTCCCCTCCGTCAACTTTGTACTAAACACATCCTAAGAAAGAAAAAGGATTTCTTTGAGAGCTGTATTTTATTAATGCTATGCTGCAAGTGCTTTACTGGTCCTACATCAACATTCAACAAAGGGGAGGTTAATCTTGCTTGACATAATTAAGCTATCCTATGACGATGAAGATATTAGGATGACTGTGTGCTATGCAATGCACCTAAAATAACAAATAGTAGACAGAGTCAAGAGTCAAGGAAAGGTCAAGGAAATTACTAACCAACCACTTCATTCTTCATTAGCTAGCGAGGGGAAAGGAAAAGCCAGGAGAAAACTGACAGAAAATCAGCCAAAATTTTCTACAAAACAACAGGGATACAACAATCACGCATCATTAACGAGCTCTATGTGCTTATAATCTTCAATCAAGTCAAAATGCCATAATTCCAAGTTGAAACAAGCTACATCATGATCTTTCTTTTCTGGGGTTCCAGACTCATACGGTCAGAAAGGATGCATCAGCAGCTCATCAGTCAAAAAGCAATTATGTACTTAAAAACCTTGTAGACCTTGGCAATGGTGATTCAGGTCTCCAGGTGCCGTAGATGGATTGGTTCAGAGTTATATTTAAAAATGGGAAAAACTCTTTTATTACACTTAACAACTCAAACGACACAATGAAAATATAAAGCTTGCAGTGTACCATCTTCCGTTTTTGAAAAAAAAAAATATGCTAATCAACTAGAAAGGTCCAAGTAAGTCCCCTGATTGGTGAACTCACCAGAGATAATGGTTGTTTTCTGTCATCGTAAACACGGCTCAAGGTATGCTGGCATTTTGACTGTAAAACTCTTTCCCACCAGTCCACAATCCAAAGAAAACACACCCGACTTCTAGCTCTTCTGAGAATCCACTTCTGCCATGAACTGTAAGGGTTTATAGCCAATTTCCTTTATCTAAAAAAGGTAAAGAACCACAACTAACACTGGATAATGGTTTGCTACTTCCCTTATATCTGTTAATGTATGTATATTATCAGAACTTGAACTAGAAGCCAGCTTATAGCATTATCAAGGAAAGTTGTCTCTTCCAGCAACTGAAAAACAGAGATTCTACTTTCAGAAAGATATATTGACATGCAGGCTTTGAAACTGTCAGAGATTCTTGGGGTGTTCTTCTGGCGACTTGTAAACACGGAATGCAGCAATGCACATCGTGGCATTACCTATTCCGGCCAGAGTCAACACTATACAGAGCATAATTAATTATGCTCTGTATCATGTGAAATACTTAAACAACAATAGCAACATGATGGAGTGGGACCAAGGAGATGGTCTGAAATATATATGAAAACAGCAGAAATTTATATTTCTAAACCATGTAATGCACCGTGGTGACACAAACGGCTGGCAATTTCCTATCCACCCAGCATTGACTGAACTCAGGCCAATTCAATGTAGGTTTGGTAAAGTTGGTAAGCAAAGAAATATTTTGGAGCAAAATCATCAAGAGGTCAGGTTGGTCAATCACAAAACACCCTGGCATATAACAGTAGGTTCCTGTGACTGAAAAACTGACTCAATCCTGAAATTTGGGCAAAAGTAATTATCAGGAACCAAAGTAATTTCGCTGATAAACAACCAGTACCTAGTTTCTACAAGTATGATAACTATGACAAAGCTGCCTTCGGCTTGATTTATAAAATTCAGTTAGATTTTGGATTTTTTTAGAAAAATAAAAACTAGCACACCAGTGAAAAAATTTCGGCAACTACTTGATTTTTTTTTATTTTATGAAATAACATGCTTTCATTTCATTGCACATGATATATGTTAAATATTATGTTTCAGAAACACGGTGAACTAACATTTCATGCTTAGGAAGTATATGAGATGTCTGTAACTTTCTACTATCCATAAATATTTCTTCCCTTTTGAATTTGAATTCATAAGGTGTGTTTATTTTCGTGGTTGTTTTTATATTTAAAATAAACTATGAAAAATACATATTTGGTAATATATAAATAATTGTTTATTGATTGTGGATTCCAGTTAAATTTTTAATGAAAATCCAAGTGAAGTAAAATTTACTCAAAGCTGCTTCTCAGCTATCATAGCTGGTGATAATTTCACTCCGCGCTATTTATTTTACAAAGTAAAATTCACTTTGTACTTGCCATGAATAGTATGCACTATTCATGATCGGACCAAGTGCGGTCCGAACCTGAATGTATTAGACCGGGTTCAATCCATAAAAAATAAATTTATTTTTATTTTATATTTAATTATATTTTATTTTAAAAAATAGTATTTAACATTGTTTAATGACATTACATAAATTAAAAGGAGATTGTATGATGACATAGTATTTGCAGAATTTGATAATAATTCTAATTTTTATTTTTGATGATATTTTACCTGATTTTAGTGCATGCTAAAAAAACTATGAAAATTATAGTTCTTATTGGAAGAATTTCATACGTGATAAAATTATAAATAGTTTAATGAGATAATAAAAAATATATTATATAAAATATTATTTATTTCAAGATGTAATAACATTAGTTAAATCTATAATATTTAAATTAGAAATTATTAATATATATTTATTAGTTATTATAACCTTAATTTGAAAAGTATCCTTAATTAAGTTATTAAATTATTTTTTATTTAATATCAATTTAATCTATAATTTTAATCAAATATTTATAAATATTAAATTATTCTTAATTAAAAAATATTTTTATAAAATAATTATTTTTAAATTACAATTATAAAAGCTATTATAATATCAAATATCCTCGGAGCTAGAAGAACTTGGACATTCGGCAAATCCCACACGCTGTTGTTCCGTATCTCCTCCCATTTTTGAGCATTTGTGTTAGAAGACAATAGAGCACCAAGTGTTCTTGCAGCTAAAGGGAGGCCACCGTACTTACTGACAATCTCTTTACTGATTTTCGCCAACAGTTGAAACGGTTAGAACGGTTGATGTGGTTTGCATGACTGAAGCTACTCTTCCATGGCGTGCTGTCAGAATAATCTTACTGCCCTCCCCGGAAACCTTCAAAGGAGCCGGCAAAAATATCTCTTCTAACTTTGATATCGTCTCCCTCATTTCCTTGTTAACTAATTCACCTCTCCTGTGGGAGAAAAGAGTGGATTAAATTGATATCATGTTATATTCAGATATATATTATTTCACTAAATTTTCAATCCTTATGTTATTTCACCTTCTATTTTCTATACTAATTGCTCAACTAACCCCTAGATTTTTTAGGGGTTTTGTTTTCGGGATTATCATGTAATGGTGTCTTTTCAAAATGCAGCTTAATCTTTTCCTCGTTCTGCACAACACGACTCCAATGCTACACAGATAATTTTGGTGCTGTTCAGAGTGAAATATGACCGTACTTCTTTCACAGGTAAGACTTAAGAGTGCAGAGGGACGGTGACAGATACAAGTGACATTACGAGGAGTGTGGCATTTAATTTCCGATAGATGATGACCAGTGATTGGTGAAGGTTTTTCAGGGTAGCGTGTATACAATCGTAGTAATAATGATTGTGTCTAAAATATTGACCAGTGATTGGTGAAGGTTTTTCAGGGTCGCGTCTATACAATCGTAGTAATAATGATTGCGTCTAAAATATTTTTTTAAAATATATTTAAATATTATTTTATTTGTTTAAATTATTTTTAATATTAATATATCAAAATAATCAGAAAATACTAAAAAATTTAATTTTAAATAAAAATACAAAATTTAATTTTATAAAATGGTGAAATTAAATTTTACAAAATTTAATTTTAAAAAAAATATATTATTAACTTGAGTTGAAGGGTAAAATTAAAAACAATAAAAATCTTAAAAAATAATTGAGAAAAATAATAAACAATTATAAGAATAAAGTTCAAATTGAAAATACCAATACATAATAAAAAAATAAACCTAAAGAATTTCTCAGCATGTGTTTTTACATAAAAAATCATAAATGTAAATAAAAAACTTAGCATGCATACAATTAAATAAATCACAAATATTTGTATAAATAAACTAAAAAAAGTAATTAAAAATAAATAAAAATATAATTGAAGAAATTGAGAAACAAATATAGATCAAAATATTTAATATTGTAATATGGGACATTAATGAGGTTATATTTAATAAATTTACTTATTAAAATTAATTTATAAAAAAAATAGACACGCGCATAAAAGAAAAAACATATTATACAAGAAGGTTATATATATTAAAAATATTATAAGAAATAAACATTTCATCTAGATAAAATATAAAAAAACAAAGATGAATTATATTAACTTTAAAAAAATTAAACAAATTCAATATAATTAAAAAATACACCATATTTAAAAGACTACATAAATCAAACAAATCATAGAGAAAATTATTAATTTAAATTTAAATTTTAAAAAATATTTGAAAACAAACATAACACAAAAAAGATATCAATAAAAAAATCATTTGTTTTCTTAAAAGAATGAGACTATACACTTCTTTCTAGATCTGATAAGTCTAGCAAAACTATTCTTGCATGAATCGCTAAAATCTTGGACCGTAAGCATCACATTTCATAATATTTCCATTGGCAACAATAATTGCTAACATTTTCGTCTTCATTATCATTACTTTAATCTTTAACATTACTTCTATTTTTTTTATTAACGTGAATTATCATTACTTTAATCTTTAACATTACTTGCTCATCATATGTTAACGTGAATATCCGGGCCAGCTTGTACGCACCACGACTAATTTCATGGGCCCTGAAGTTAACGACCATGTAAATCTCTAATAGCCATCATATGAGCAACCAAGAATTTCACTATCTTAACCATCTAGGTGGTGGCCAAGTGGTAAAGACTTGGGACTAAGGGGTTTGCTCCCTCTGTGGTCTCAGGTTCGAGTCCTTGGTTACTCATATGATGGCCACTGGAGGCTTACATGGTCGTTAACTTCAGGGCCCGTGGGATTAGTCGTGGTGCGCGCAAGCTGGCCCGGACACCCACGTTAATCTAAAAAAAAGAATTTCACTATCTTTAACATTACTTGCTCATCATATATGAAGCTATAAGAGCTTCCAGTATCTCTTGGTATCATCAGCTCTTTTCCCTGACAATTACCTCATATTCTGATTGTTTTACATTCGTAACTATCAACTAATGCCTGTAAAGATAATCTAGATTCTTCAATTCTATCTTCTCCACTTGCTTTCTCATTTTTCATACTCCTCTACCTCAAAGAACTTTTCCTGACCATCTTCTAATTCATCTATCATATTTAATCCTTTCGCAACACATTTATACCCTGATCCAACCACAAGGGTTTTCCCTAGAAAAATTAGGTAGTTCCACCTTTGGCGAAGCCATATTATACCCTGCTCAGTTGCCTTCTTGAATTCCCTTGATATCTCCCCTTTCGCCATTCCTACGAGGAAGATGGTTTCCTTCTGCATTGACACTCTCTCTCCCTTCTTTCACGTTCACCCTCCATATTAGCCTTAAAAGAATTCAAGGCCGTCAATACCGTATCCATTTGTAACTGTAGTTCTTCTAACTTCTTGTACAATTCAATCCCTTGCATCTTAATTTCTGTTCTGATTTCTGTATTGCTTCATTTGGACGCCTGTTGTGCTCCTCCAGAGCCCATCCTATTATTGTCCACCATGGTAAGCAAGAAGTATATTTGTGTTGCTTAGGAAAGTCCCTAACAATGAAGATTGATAGAAAGAAAGGAGATTTGAGGAGTAGAGGAGAGAGAAGGAGAGGAACTTCTGCAGTTACAAAAAGAAATTCAATTACTTGTCGCCCCCTTCATACTAACTAACTGCTACTAACTACTCTTAAATGAATTAACAAACCATTACACACATGCTAATTCTTATTCATCACATTTAAAATGCCCGGCTAACTAATGCCCCTTACTCATCACATGTAAATACTGCTGCTGTAGCGGATCCAGTGCAGCTGCTTTAGCCGATTCTTGTCTCAGCTGTTAGGTTGATCACATAACAAGTTGATAACGTAACAAGGACAAACTTGTGATTTGCAAAAGCAATTTCTAGTTGAAGTGCTATTCTTTCTTCTTGGCCCAAATCATGACCAGAGAAAATCCAATCAAAGACATGATTACTGTCTGCAGCCACAGAAATAGCAGATATTTATCAGAATCCTGCAAGAAAGTATCAATACCTAACAACATGAAGAAAGAACAACCCAAATCTATATCATCGGTGCTATCTTTTTATGTAAAAGCATACAATACAACTTTAATTGCTATTGGTGTGGGAAAACCTAGGGAAAATGTGTAAAGTAAACCATTTGCCAATCAATCAATCAATGCTCTGGATCCAAAAAGAAGAAGAAAAAGCAATGCCTACTCTTATTATTTTCCTGCAAAGGAAAATATTGTGAGCTAGACTAGAAGAGTATGATCCACAACAAAACGACCGAGTTGAAAACAAAGATGGTACCTGTCTCATAGGATAGTGTTCTTTGCAGTGCTTTCAGGTCAAATGCCTTGTGGAAGACAAAACCAGTGAAATAGTAACCAACTACAAATGCTGATAGATGAAATGCAATAATAAGCGATACTATGGTTACTCCAAAAGGGGACATAACTGAGTCAACATTAATAGCAAGTGGTGCTCCAACACAACAAGCTGTTACTAGTACTGATAGTGGTGGCAAAAATGGCCGAATAACATCAGAAATCTGCGGAAACAACCTGTTGTTACAAATAAATAAGACATAAGCACACCTCACATAAACAGTGAAACAAAACACTTGTTTGGATTGAGCATATCACCTGTTTAGAAGTAAGCCTGCAGCAATTGGAGCAATTACGATCTGCATAATACTGGATACCATTCCTTTCACATCAACAGGCAGTCTTTTTCCAATGAGCAATAGAGATAATAATGGAGTAACAAAAACAGCAGTAGCCGTGGACATTGATGTCATGACAATGCTTAGAGGAGCCATTGGAGGGTCTGTCAGAAAAGTAGCATAATTTGAAAGCTGAGCCCCACTAACACAAGATACCAACATGATCCCAGCACCTGATACATAGATTCACAAAAGTGTTGGTACCGTCTCAACTATGTTGGAAATCAGGTAAATACAATCTTACCTATTGGAGTAGGAAGCCCAAATACTGACACTGAAATTATACCAAACAGATATCCAAGAATTGGCTTCACAACAAATTGGCCAACATACCCAGCCAATATAGCTGCTGGTCTGTTGAACGCTTCAAGAAAATCCTTTTCACTGGAATTAATCCCAACTGCAAACATCAAAAACCCTAATGCAGGAGCATAATACCTGAAATTAGACCAAAAGGAATGATTATGCCTGAAATTAGACCAAAAGGAACGATTATGTGCATACAACCTTGGAAAAGTTTACTTGGTTCTGTTTATACTGATTTTTTTAAATGCATAAAACTTCTTAATCATTAGCTGGTTTAGCTCTCCTAACTAGTGGTCAAAATTAAACCATCAATCCCCGCCACTGTTCTTAACTTATTACAGAAATTTTTCCACAGACCAATTTATTCAAAGTAATATTTAATAACCTGGTGGTAAACCACGTGAAAGAGGGGGGATGGACAAGAGCCACCAATGTACTAGCAAGGACTATGTGAGGCAAAAGGGAATTTGATTGCTCCAACATATCCACTATAGAAGCCTTCTTCTGCTCTACCATCTGAAATAAGACATCAACAACCATTGTCTACTGAGTATTTAAAAATTAGAATAACTGCACCGAGTGTCCAAAATCCCATCTAAAGAACCAAAATAAACCTATGAATCAAATTAGGAAGATTAGTTTTGGATTTTTGGGTTTGAGCCGAACTCTCCTCTCCACTAATGAGCTCTGCGGTCTTTCTTCTGTGCACTATTGTTGAGTAAATCTGCATGCAAACTCACACTCACCGATTGACTAATTTGCTATTCGTGAGTGAAAGCAATTTGAACCAAAGCACCATACACAACCACCCCAATATGTTAGTCTCATCAAAGATTGTTGCAAAGAAATCCTAATCCAATAACTAGATGGTGAAAGATTCAAACTTTAATAGAACTCATAACATTCTCGTTTAACCAGTGTTAGACAATTTGGAAACTTATGGGTATACAATGCAACTAACCCAGTAAATTTTAATTAAAAACAAAAATAATAAACAATAACTGCGGAAAGAAGCACCTGACTTGAGTCGGTCACATAATTCTGATCATGATCCGGTTCCAAAGAATCAGAGAACTTCTGGGACTCGCATCTGCTCACCAAGAATCTTGAACTCCCACCTGTCAAATATAAACAACTACATGCATCCGAACCAAAAGGAGAATAAAAAATAATGGATTGCAAAGACAGAGCTGATGAGAAACTTACAGTGAAAATTCGGTTTTAATGGCATTGAAAAACCCAAAGATCGCAACTCTGAACAAATAGTAGAATTATTAAACACAACAAAAGACTTGAGGGACTCGTAAGATTCGAAAGAGAAACCATTAAGACAAAATTACAGACCTAAAAAGGATTTGAAGGAGCGACTTGGGGTCAAAACTGAAAGTTGATTATTACAACATTTGCGAACGTGGGAAATTTTTTGATTATGAATTTGGGAGATATCTGGGCGTTGAATCTGTAGCGTTCTACTGTTTACTACACTCATTTCTTGTTTCAGAGAGTGTTCGTAGCGTAGGATAGATACTCCCTGTTCTTTTTGTTATTGTTTCCAAACAGGGCTTTCTTCTTCTGTTTTATTGTGCGTATGCTTGGAGAGTGATGGGTTTTTTTTTTTTTTGAGATATAATTTTTTTTAAACATAAACTATACTTTATAAAAGTAAAAAATATATAGTTTTTATATTAAAAAAAGTCAACTATATCTTTAAATCAAACACCTCTTTAGTGTTATAAAGAATATAGTAATAATTGTTTATAAAATGTTTTTTTTAAATATATTACAATAATATATATTTTTTATTTTTAAAAAATAATTTTTAATATTAACATATCAAAATAATTTGAAAATATAAAAAATAAAATTAATTTGAAATTAAAAATATTAAAATATAATCTTAAAAAACTAAAGCACAAAAATAAAAAAGCCTGTTTTGTAGTGTAATAATAGTTAGTTATAAAATATTCATAATGCCAACATATTAAAATAATTTAAAATAAAAAAAGTTATTTTTTTAAAAAATATTTTTAAAATAGAAAAACAAATAAAATACAATATAGGAGCAGATAACATCATCATTAATTTTTTTTTAAAAAAAAACACCAATAATTTACTCATTTCTTTTCACTCTACCTCTCAACTTAATTTTTAAACTTATATTAAAAAAAAAATATATTCTTATATATAATATATCAAAAACACCAACAAATGAAAAATCATAACTTTTCTTGAATATCGATTTCTATCTCTTTAGAATTCCCAGCACCTTTTCAATTCACAGCCAGATGACAACATATTTCTACACACACAGGTACAAACCAGAAACCAAGTCTCTAGCCAACCACCAAGGCTTAGATTCACTGATGCAAGAACTTGTCATATTTAGGCAATAAATCCCAGAAGTAATATTCAGTGAATTTGAGGATGAAAACTCAAAGATAGCTTGTTTTTCTAAACCAAACTCGCCATCTTTTTAACAGAGATAATTGTTATGGTAGTTTATGCTTTGATGAATTTAACTTCAAATCAAGATTCATAATAATGTAAGAATTGTTTGTGGTTTTGAATGCAAATTTCTATTTCCAAGAGCATCAAGTGGGCGTTTGACGGAGACAACGTGTTTTCTTGCACGTTAATCTGTATTACGATATGTTTAGGAATGTGGTTGAATTATTTTTTTATTTTTTTAAATTATTTTAATTTATTAATATTAAAAATAACTTTTAAATAAATATTATTTCAATATATTTTAAATAAAAAAATATTTTAAAAAATAACCAGCCACGAAGACTATGATATCTTGCCCTTATCAACGTGTCATGTCCTCAATGCTCTGTCCATACATAACCACCCGTCAAGCAAGACCAAACTCTGCCAGAAAGGCATGTTACTTCATGCTGTACCTTAGCTTCTTACCATAAACCCAACGTCAAGAAAATGGCAACCGATTCACTGAACTCGATAACTCGGTCGCGAACTCAGTGTCTAAAAAATTGCTAATACTTCCCTTGAGGATGAAGTCACGACAAAAAAATACACTCCACGTCACCAATATATCCACTCACAGCACGCCACGTACCGTAAGGGATCCCCTCGACGACAGCGTTCCTCCTTGCGCCAGGTCGCACATGACGACGTTAAAAGAAAACCGTAACTGGAAAGCCTCAAAACGACAACGTTTTAATGGCTGTTTGTGCATTCAGACGCTAAGAAAAAGGCCTCATTGTAACGACAAAGTTAATAATAACGGAAAGGACTAAAAATCTTTCTCGATCCTCTATGTTATATATTGGATCACATTAAGTCCAAAATGTTTTAACTGAATTAATTAACCCCTCTATTTTCAAATAAAGGGAAATTTAAGCCTTTCCATCAGCCCCATTAACACTGGAAATATAGAGAAATGTCATGTATCTAATGGATTGAGGATCTCAATTTTTCCTTTAATTGGAAGCAAAGGGGTTGTTTTGAAATAATATTGAAAATGAAGGGTCTGGTATGATCTGCAAAGTATAAGTAAGGACGCGGAAAGATTAAAGTTACTAATTACAATCTAAAGGGTCCCTCAGAGAGGGGAAAAAAAAAACACAAACACAAAAGCATTGTCTGTTTCCTTCCTCTGCATATCCTTTTTATATGCTTCATTGATTATTATCTTATTATTCTTCATCAACGAATCTCTCCTCTGGTTGCCATTATGAGCATCATCATAACCTGAAAAACTCCCCCCCCTCCATCCTTCTCGGGAACCAAACAGAAAGTTACAAACTTTATCTGTTTTTAGGGTTTTTGGTTCAATGACTTTTTATGAGGATGATAGTGTGGTGCCAGAGCTAATAATGAGCATGGAGGGTGATAAAATTGATGATGGAGATAATAACGAAGGGGATTATGTGAATTTGAGAGATGAGAATGGGGCTGGTGAAAGGTGTAATCTTTGTGGTTTTTATTGGGGGTTTGGATGGTCTGTGTTCTGGTATTGGGTTAAGTTGGCTTTGCTGTTTACCTTTATTGGATTGTTAGCTGCTGCTTGTGTCATGTGGGTTGGCCCCTTTTTGATGGATAAGGTTAGTTTTTATAAGAAAATTTTATGCTTTTTGTGGTTTCAATTTTGTTTGTGTTGTGGAACTTGGTGGATCGGGATTTTCTTGCTATAGAGTTATATGTTGCTGCCTTTTCCTATATCGATTGGTGGCTTTTCAAAGGTTGATTTTTATCTGAATTTTGATATTTTTTTTAGTTTTGCTAATGCTTATGTGATTTGGCTTTATTCCTTGTAAACTGGTGATTCTCATTACATGTTTCTTGGGATTTGGTGGTGTTTTTCATAAATTGGCAGGTTTTGTTTCAGTTTTCATATATTTTTTTGTGGGTTTGTAGTGCAATGTGTTTTTCATTCTGGGTTTTATTACATTGCCGTGCAATTGGAGCTTTTGTTGTGGTTTTTGCCCCACAAAATTCAGAGATAAGGGTAGGCTTTCTGTGAAAAAGGAGGTGTTTAATGTACTTCTTAATGTGCATGTCTCTAAAATTTTGGATTTTATCGAATTGTTTTACAATTTGAGATATAGAAATGTGTTTTCCTTAAATTTATTTGGGGAGTGTTTGTTGCGTTTCAAAAATATTTTTGAAAAAATTTAAAATTTTTTATTTACTTTAAATTAATATATTTTTAGTGTTTTTAAATTATTTTGATATGTTAATATTAAAAATAATTTTTAAAAAATAAAAAAAATGATTGATATGTATTTCGACACGAAAATTGTTCCGTAATCATATTCCTAAACAAGCACCAAGATGAGATGGATTGTCTTGTATACTGTTGTGTTTAAATGTTTGTAGCATTATATAGCATCTACACACACGCACTTGACGAGCTCGCATATATATGCTCAGTTTGATTATTCTTTGTTCTAAAATCTTAGTCTTATTGAAGTGTTTCATGCAAGTGATTTCTTGTTGTTAGCAACTTCTTTCTGAGCATGGAGGCAATATTGCTTTAGAACACGATCTACTCTTCCTCATCTTATAGATGTTCCTTTTCTGATATCTGTTTTCTTTAACTTGATTCTAACTGGATGCTCTGCAGTGTTCTCTTCAACCAATCCCACTAGAAACTTGCCATAGGATTATGACATTGCTATTCTCTACCAGATGGTGTTGCTAGAAGTTCATGGTGGTTATTGGATATTTATGGGACATTCATGCATATTTCGATTTTTCCCATACCTGACTGATGAATTTTTTCAGGAGATTATCCCTATCATGAATTGGGAGACAAGAACATTTAGCACTCCTGTATTGGCAGTTCTTCTCTTTGCCTCTGTGGCATTGTTCCCCACTCTACTTCTACCATCATCACCATCTATGTGGGTGGCTGGGATGACATTTGGCTATGGGATTGGATTCCTATTAATAATAACTGCAGCTGCTGTGGGTGTATCACTTCCATATTTAATTGGCTCTTTGTTCCTTCATAAAATTCAAGTATGAACCATGTGCCAAGATTTGTTCATAATTATAGCTATATTTGTTTTCTCTTCTACATGTGCCTAATGTAATTCTGAATTCTGTGACACAGGGGTGGTTAGAAAAATATCCAAAAAGAGCTGCAATTTTGAGAGCAGCTGGTGAGGGAAACTGGTTTCATCAGTTTCGAGCTGTGACTCTAATCAGGATTTCTCCATTTCCATATATTCTGTATAATTACTGTGCTGTTGCAACAAATGTTAAGTATGGTCCTTACTTATTGGGATCGTTGGTGGGAATGGTGCCAGAGATATTTGTTTCAATCTATACGTAAGAACTATCCACTCCCATTTTGCATTAAGCATTTCATTTTCATGTGCCTCTGCTTCCAAACATATTCTTCTCATTTTAGATTCTTGCATTATTGCATATTATTCACATTGAATTTCTCACGCACTGATGTTGTTGTAACTCTGTCAATTTTTTCTTTATTTCAGTTCTTGTTTATTGCCCTTTTAACTTTTAGATCAGTGTTAACTTTGGATTTTCAAGTTGAAACAATGTCTGATATTTTTGTTTCTTATTTTCAGGTCAGATATACATCTGACTTCTTCTTTTGGTACAAAGAGATATGAATGAAGTGATGTGATTTTTCATTTTAGTAAAATGATTTCCCTTTTGTTATCTATTTGTTTTGACCTCTGCCCAAAGCATTATTCTTGAGAAAATTATTTCATAGATGAATTACCATTTCAGTTCTAGTTCTAAATGCATGGCTCCAGCTGTTAGGTATGGGATAACTTAACAAGAAGAGTGATGAGTCTGTGGTTTGAGTCTTTACCTTGTAACCTTGAAAAAGGGAAAAATACACATTGTAACTGAATTTGGCCGTAGACATCAGAAGGATGGGATAGGAATGCCCTGACTTCTCTGGAAAATATATAATTTTTTGCACTCATTTCAAGGTCTTACAATCAAAACTTTCAGTAATTGGTGTCTGAAAGTAGCTCATGCTCACCCAGTCCCTTGCTCTCACGTGATTATTTCACGAATTCTTTTTCCCACCACCCTAATGAAATGTGCGTCATAATGATTTTAATAATTACTGCAA